TGTTGTTGAGTCTTTGAGAAGACGTAGAGACGGCCTCACATGCTTTGTAATGCAAGGGTGCTGCTGGATGTGGACACTGACGCTGTTAAGATTCCTCAAGTTTCTCAGGACATACATATGTTGGGCTGTGTCATTTCCATTATTGAGCTGGGCTGCATATATCCTTTATGGAGAAGGAAAGAGTCTTTTCATAGAAAAGCAGGCATATCAGTTCTGCAGATGTGCCCAGTACACAGTCCATGTCCCTGGCTCTGTGAGAGATGAGGCAAACCCTTACCATCAGGGGCTTCAATTGTCCTAATGGGGAGAGAGTGACATGCGTTAAATTACATGGAGATTCTGGTCTACAATAATGGCAGCTCCAGTAATGGGTCCTCAAGTACAAGAGACGGAGACATGAATCTCATGGGAATCAATTGGAGACTGTGCATGAGAAGGGAGAGCTGAGATGGTGCAGAGGGGAGGGTGTTGGACTCAGTGAGATGGAGTTGGAGGCCATTTGTGGAAGGGCCCACAACCTGGGCAGGGAGAGTGAGTGCAGGGTGACATCCACACCGAGCTGCTGTATGGGTTCAAGGATAGTTCATGCAGGTATCATCTCTGAAATGTCATTGTGGCCAAAGTGCACCTAGTTCATTATCTAAATAAAGACTGTTGTTTCCCTTGGAGGTTCTCCTGAAGGTTCTGGATCCTTGTGAAAGAATGCCCTGGAGATTTGTCGTTTACCTTGGTTCTTATGGGATGCTTGTCTGCTAAGTTTGTGTGCCTCTGTGAGACTAAATGTGATGAAACGTTGTAGATTATCTGTGTGGCTTCCTTGGCCTTCAGCCTGAATCAGATTCTTAGCAGGGAAATCAGGGTTGACCAGGAAACGCCCCTGCTGGAATCTTGTCACCGCACCCCTCAACCTACTGTCATGACCCTGAATGAAGGTTTGCATCTCTGAAACTTCCCTCACAGTTTCCAGAGGCACTGCCTGTGATCCTGCTGTCTCAGCCCTCATGCCAGCTCTCAGTGGGGCCATCTCATAGCCTCAGCATTGTAATCTGAGAAGCAGGAACAATGTTGGTCTCTGAGGTCAGTGCGATGAGGAGGTGGTTAAGCACATAAGGAATTTGTAAAATGTATGGGATGAGTGGGCATTCACCCTTCTCAGGGTGGAAATGAATGTATCTGCACACAGAAGATAATCAACAGATGTTCATTCAGTTTCATGAAACTAAGGATATAATGCCTGAGGTTGGGAGATTGGCAGTTCCTGTTTCAAAAGATACAACAAAGACCCGTGTGTTTTTTCTATTAAAATTCAGGTCCTACTTTACAAAGAAGGAAAAGATAAGTATGAGAATGTGTATATTCAGGCATCTACATCTAAGATCTGAGGTAGACACACAAATGCAGCCACACAAATATGTGCTCATCCAAGGCCACAGATGTATTGTAGAAGACAAAATGCATACAAGAGAACAGAAGATCCCTTTGCAATAACTCAAAATCACTTTGACGTAGAGGGCAATCCGTTTGAAATTTGAAGAGGACAATGAACCATTACAAACCAGCTGTGGTTATTATATATTTAGAGATGGTGTCTAATCTGTCCCTTGGTCTGAATGCTTTCCCTGACCACCCTGTCCACTCCACTTTGTCCTTCCTAATGTCCCCTAATACACTTGTCTCAGTTGTGTTTCTGTGTCAGCGTCTGCTTCCAGGAAAATCAACACTCATTCCCCATCAAGTGTACACTTTGGGGTTCCTGTATACGCAGTTAGCCAACACATAGTATGTACACGATTGGTGGAAGAAGACAGATCATTCTTTGGGGTTGTAATGCCTGGAAGGGACCTATAGTTCCATCTGAGGAGTTGGATACATCCTTTAGGGAGATCTGGTCGTGGTTGTTATATCTGTAGATAGATACTCCTGAGCACACGGCGTGCGTGCTAGTTGATGGGGTTTGTGCTGATGAGGAGGGCAGGTATCTGTCTCCAGGAAAGGGTCTCTTCCGATGGTGAGGAATGGATTCAGGAGACCGGTAAGGAGGCCCTGCATTAACCTAGCTCTTGTGCCCTTGTGCACCTTCCAGCTGCCCCCAATAGCACCAATCCAGGTGGCCTCCAAGGGGGCAAATGGCGCAGCTTTTGTGGCGAGTCACATGATGTCCCACAAAGCTTCCCCTGTTGCCTTATTGAGGGATGAGGAGGGCAGAGCTCCATGGTCTGAGTTAGGTTCCTTCTACACCACCCAGGAGAGTGGGGTGTAAGCATATGGCTCCTTCTACATAGGCCAAACTAATCCACTTTGCCCCAGGGACACTGAACCCTGTGAGCCCATTTTTCCTCCCAGCTTAGGGAAGAAGCCAGCCCTCCAGGAGCTTTTGGGTCATGGCTGGGCCACCAACGGTAAATGTCTGGCTGTCCACATGCTGCCAGCATTGCTCTAGCAAATGTCAACATGAGCAGCTGCTGTACAGGGGATTCTCCTCCATTATGATCAGGGCCTGGGACAAAACAAGACATGAGAGAGGGAGAGACAGGAGTGCCCTGTGCTCCTGGACAGGGCTGCATGCACAGAGCAGATATCCTGAAACCTGGGGAGAGGTGGAGAAAGAGAAAGGCAGGGAGAGAGACATTGAATTTGTGATAGGGGAATTGGGCAAGTCCTAGAGAGTGAAAGGAAGAAATAGAGAGAGATGTGGTTAGAGAGAAACAGAGACAAAGAGGAAGTACAAGGAGAAAGTAGAGACCTGGTCCAGGAATGTGGATGGGGTGAGGTGGGCCAGAGGAGAGGGGATGTATGAAGTGTCTCTGAGTGCTGGGGTAGAAATGGCAGGTATCATGGGCATCAGTGTTCCATGACTCCAAGACTCCAACATCCCTGGGGCCAAGCTTTGCAGAGGCTATTGCATTTGAAAAGATGGGTATCCCTCATTTCTCCCGGAATTGTGGGGGCACAGCCTCATGTTCTGTCATGGAGAGGCATGTCTTGAGGGAGAGTGTGCTGCTCTTTGGCAGGTAAACGCCAGAGCCTGCCCTGTGGGGAGGGGACCCGGACTCCTCTCCCTCATTGTCCCGGGCCCTGTTGGATTTTCCCGGCACTCCTTACCAGCTGGTCTTCCTTATGTTCTGAATTCAGATAGCAGGAATTGTGTTGCCCCTAGTTCCGGCAGTCTGGACCTGGCAGAGTTGAACTGCTGATATTATAAAAAAGTATTTGACAAGAAGGTCCATATTCTCCCTCTGGAACTAGCGGTGTGCATCAAGATCGTGGGTTTCTATCCTCCTGTCCACTGCCAAACTGAGGATGCCAGATGGTAGGTGAACCCTTTAAAACACCATAGTCTTCTCTTACATCAAATTCAAAGACATTTTCTTGTCCCAGCTTTCTTTTAATTTTGAAGAGATGACAATTAGTAATTGAAGGCATAATGGTCCTATAGGAATTTGACCTCTATGACTGATGGACATTACTTCATACATCTGTATCCCTAAAGCACATTTCATTGGAAATATTAGCCAAGGACACATACAGTAAATTCATAACAGATGCATAGCTCCCTGGAAGTTGCATTCTGACCCTGCCACATATGTGTCATCAAAGATATTATTAGTGACTATTCAGATAAGCTCTCAACATCAAGATGGTGATGTTAGAGAATCTGGTATAAATGGAGTTTCACAGATTCTAAATTAGGAACGATTTTTTAAATTTATAATGTTTCTGTTTTTCTTTTTTGGAGACAGCCTGAGGGAGGAAGGGGGGAGAGAGCAGGAGACACCGAATCTGGGGCAAGCTCCAGGCTCTGAGCTGTCAGGACAGAACCTGACACAGGGCTCAATCTCATGGACTGCAAGATCATGACCTGAGGGGAAGTCGGATGCCTAACTGACTAAGCCACCCAAGCGCCTCAAGGAATGATAGTTTATTGGCAAAAAAAAAAAAAAAAAAGATAAATTAAAGATAGCGTAAAGGATGTCGACTTTTAATTGAAATATTCTTCACACATTTGTTGTATTAGTTTTAGGCATACATTTTAGTCATTCCATATGTCTATAAATTATGTTGTACTTCAGCACAAGTGTAACTATCCTGTGAAAGCATGCAACAGTATTATTACAGGATTGACCCTATTCCATTGACTGTCCCTTGTATCCCTAGGACTCATTTATTCCATAGCTGGAAGCAGTTATCTCTCTCTCAAAGGTGTCAATTCTTTAACCTAAACACTCTGGTGGTAAACACAATTACTTGCTCAGCATGTGTAAATTGGCAGTCTATTTTTCTGTGGACATTGCTTAAAACATTACAAATGATGTCATTATGTTAATAAAATTGGTTTCATTCTTCACTCAAAAGAAAGGAGAAGGAAAAGATTTCTTTGTGTCCCAGTCCCTGTCACTAAGACCCTTCCCAATGTGGAGAACAGGCTGAGTTGCCCAGAGCACCTTCAGTCCCTCAGCTGAGCGACCAGGGCCTTCAACATTGCAGGAATTCCCATGGTAGCCAGCAGAGAGAGCACAAGCACCACAGACCCGGAGGGGCCGGTTACTCTGCCTAGGCAGTGATGGCCAGCAGAGGGTGCAACATCGGCTTTTCTGACCCAGGGCACCTCAGAGCAGGAAGGGCTGCTGTTGCTCCCAGAGGGCACAGGGCCTCTGGCGCTGTCTCAGGACAGAGAGCAGAGCTGCGTTTCCAGCGGGTTCTGCCGCCTGCGCCAGGGGAGACCTTGCGAGCTTTGCGAGCTTTGCAGCAACTTGGCATCTCCTGAGTCGCCAGAGAGAAGCTGCCTTGTTGCACTGAGTGCTGAGGAGGGGGCACTGGGTGGCTTCCCTGGGCAAGCTGGTTGCTGAGCTGCACAGTCCTTTGCATTTTCTGGGCTGTTCCCGTGTGTCATTCCACCCCTTCCAGGACAGTTTTTGAACAAGACGTATTTTACTAAAGGACTTGTGGATTGCGGGGTCCCGCGACATCACCTCATCGATGCAGTCGATAGTTTGTTCCAGATCCAGGCTTGTTTCCGGTAAGAAACCCTGACAGAAATTCAGAAGAATGGGAGCTGCATTCCATTAGGATGTGAATACACGAAATGTTCTTCTCAGGACCTTCTAGAAGAATGAGCTGGGACCCACTTTCCAAGTCCTGCTGGAACCAGAGACCGAGGTAAGGGCACAAACTGTCCCCCACATCATACATGCTTCTTAAAAAATTTATGGTTATTTTTCCAACCTAGTGAAGTGATTGAAAACTACAGAAAACCTGGTAGGTAGGTGTCTTAACCTTATGTGATCTTTTACTTTAAGTTGCACTTAGTAAACATGCAGTGTAATATTAGTTTCAGGTGTACAATATAGAGCAACACTTCCACGGGTCACCCGGAGCTCATCCCAGGTGCACTTCTTAATCCCCAGCAGCTGTTTCACCCATTCCCCCACCTCACTGTGGAACCCCTCAGTTTGTTTTCTAGTTAAGAGTCTGTTTGTTTGTCACTGTCTCCTCCCCCCACCCCTTTGTTTCGTTTCATTTCCATGTGTTAGTGAAATCATCTGGTATTTGTCTTTCTCTGACAGGCTCTTTTTCACCCAGCATAACATACTGTCGCTCCATCCACCTCGTGCAAAATGACAAGATTTCATGTTTTTATGGCTAAATAATATTACATACCATATACTACATCTCAGTTCATTCATCAGTTGATGGATGCTTGATCAGTTTCTGTAATTTGGCTGTTGTAAAAAACGCTGCTGTAAACATCATGGTGCATGTATCCCTTTGAAGAATTATTTTTGTATTCTTTCTCTAAATCGCTCATAGTGAAATTGCTGCATCGTAACATAGTTCTATTTCCTTTTTTTTTTTTTTTTTTTTACGAATCTCCATGATGTTTTCCAGAGTGGCTGCACCAGTTTGCATTCCTTCCCACAATGCAAGAGGGTTTCTCTTTCCCCACATCCTTGACAACACCTGCTGTTTCATCATTCATTGAGCTTAGTCATTCTGACAGATGTGACGTGTTATCTCATTGTACTTTTGGATTGTATTTCCCTGAAGATGAGTAATGCTGAGCATCTTTTCATGTGTCTCTTGGCTATGTTTATGTCTTCCTTGGGAAAATGTCCATTCATGTCATCTGCCCATTTTTAATTGGATTTCTCATTTTGGGGGTGCTGTATAACTTTATATATTTTGCACGGTAACCCTTTATCAGATGTCGTTTACAAATATTCTGTATGTGTTTTAGGTTTGTAGATTATTTCCTTTGTGACAGAAGCTTTTTATTTTTATGAAGTCCCATTATTTTTGCTTGTGTTTCCCTTACCTCAGGAGATATATCTACAAAGATGTTTGTGCAGCCAATGTCAAATAAGATACTGCCTGTGTTAGGTATCCTCTGGGATTTTTATGGTTTCACGTTTCACACATAGTTCTTTATTCATGTTGGATTTATTTTTGTGTATGTTGTAAGAAAGTGGTCCGTTTGTGTTTTTGTTTTGTTTTGCAGGTTGCTGTCTAGTTTTTCCAAAACGATATGTTGAGGAGACTTTTTAAAGTTTATGTATTTATTTTTGAGAGAGAGAGAGAGAGAGAGAGAGAGAACATGCAGAAGAGGGGCAGAGAGAAATGGAGAGAGAGAATCCCATGTATGCTCTGCACTCTCCTGAGATCATGACCTGAGCTGAATCCACAATCACATGCCTTGCAGCCACCCATGTGTCCCAAGAGTATCTTTTTTTCCCCATTGGATATCCTTTCCTGCTTTGTTGAGAATTAATTGACCATGTATGTTTGAGTTCATTTCTGGGTTTCTATTCTATTGATCTCTGCGTCTGAGTTTTTGTTGTTGTTGTTGGTTGCCAGTACCATAGTGTTCTGTTCAGTACAGCTTTGTAATGTACCCTAAAGTCTAGAAGTGTGATGTCTCCAGCTTTAGTTTTGGTCTTCAATTTCTTTTGGCTGTTTGGGGTCTTTGTCATTCCATACAAATTTTGGGATTATTTGTTCTAGTTCTGTAACAAATGTTTTGTTTGTGTGATAGGGATTTCATTACATGTGTAGATTGTTTTGTGGAGTGTAGACCTTTTAACAGTATTTTGTTCTTCCTATCCGTGAACATGAAATGTATTTCCTTTTCTTCGTGTCCTCTTCCATTTCTTTCATCAGTGTTTCATAGCCTTTAGAGTACAGATCTTTTACCTCTTTGGTTAGGTTTATTCCAGGTATCTTGGGGTATTTGGTGCACCTGTCAATGGGATTGATCCCTTGTTTTCTCTTTATGTTAATTCATTATTCATCTACAGAAATGCAATAGATTTATGTACATTGATTTCTGTATATTTTGATTTGTTGAATTCATATACGAATTCTAACAATTTTGGGGGGAGTCTTTCATGTTTTTTTTATAGAGAGCATCATGTCAGTTCCAAATAGTGAAAGTTATATTTCTTTCTTGTCAATTTGGATGTTTCTTATTTCTTCTTGTTGTCTGATTGCTGTGGCTAGGACTTCTAGTACTATGTGGAATAGTGGTGAGAGGGATGTCCCTGTCTTGTCCCTGACCTTGGAGGAAAAACTTTCAATTTTTCCCCATTGAGGAGGAGCTGAGCTGTGGGTTTTTCATAGATGACCTTTATATGTGCAGGTAGGTTGAGTCCCAATCTACTTGCTAGGGGGTTTTATCATGAATGGATGTGACATTTTGTCAATCGTTTCCTGCATGTCTTGAAAACATCATATTGTTCTTATCCTTTCTTCTATTACTGTGGTGCATCATGTTGATTGATCTGTGAATACAGAACCACGCTTGCAGCCCAGGAATATATCCCACTTGATTATGGTAAATGATTCTATTAATGTATTGTTGACTTTACTTTGAAGGTATTTTGATGTGAATTTATGCATACGTACTCATCGCGGTATTGGTCTGTAGTTTTATTTAAACACTTTTTAACATATTTAAAATATTTATTTAGAGACATATTGTACATAAAAGTGAGGGAGGGGCAGAGAGACATGGAGAGAGAGAATCCTGGCCATTCTCCACAGTTTCAGCACAGGGTCCTATGTGGGCATCGAACCCATGCGCTGCAAGATAATGTCCTAATCCGAAATTAAGAGTTGGACACTAAACCGACCGAGCCACACAGGCGCCCCAGCAGTTTTCAGTTTTAGTGGAGGCTTTATCTGGTTTTGGTATCAGGGTAATGGTGGTCTCATAAGATGAATTTGTAAGTTTTCCTTTTTTTATTTTTTGTAGTAATTCAAGAAAAATACATATTATCTCTTCCTTAAACGGATGGTAGAATTCATTAGTGAAGCCATCTGGCCCTGAACTCTTGTGTTGGGGGGAAATTCATTTTATTATTGATTTGATTTCTTTCTGTTTTCAGATTTTATGTATCTTCCCGTTTCAGTTTTGGTAGTTTGTGTGTTTCTAGGTATTTGTCCATTTTTCTCAGAGTGTCCAATTTGTTGCATATAGTTTTTCATAATATTATCTTCTAATTGTATTTTTGTGGTGTTGACTGTTATTTCTTCTGTGTTATTTGTGATTTTATTTACTTGAGTCCTTTCCTTCTTCTTTGTGAAAAGTATGCCTAAGAGGTCTTCATGTTGATTACTGTTCTCAAAGAACCAGCCCCTGGTTTCATTGATTTGGTCTAGTGTCTTTTTGGTTTCTATATCCCTTATTTCTGCCTTAATCTCTATTATTTCTTTCCTTTGGCTGTTCTTCTCATTCCTTTAGTTATAAGTTAGGATTGTTTGGGATTTTTCTTGCTTTTTATGGTAGGCTTGTACTGCTGTATACTTCCATCATAGACTGCTTCTGCCACATTCCAAATATTTTTTTGAGTGTATTTTCATTTTCATTTGTTTCAGTGTATTTTCTCATTGATTTCCTGTTTGACCCATTCATTTGGTAGCATGTTATTTAACCTCCCTTTATTTGTGGCCTTTCCCCCTGTGTGTGTGTGTGTGTGTGTGTGTGTGTGTGTGTGTTTGAGTGTATGTGCGTGCACGTGCATGGTTAACTTTGAGTTTCCTAGCTTTATGGTCAGAAAAAATGCTTGGTCTGATCTCTGTCTTTGGGTACCTGTTGAGGCCTGATTTGTGACCTAGAATGTGATCAATTCTGGAGAATGCCCCATTTGCACTTGAAAAGAATGTGTACTCTGTCATTTTAGTATGGAGTGTTCTGAATATATCTGTTAAACCCATCTGGTCCAGTGTGTCATTCAAAGCCATTGTTTCCTTGTTGATTTTCTGTTTACAGGTTCTGTCCATCGATGTGAGTGATGTGATAAAGTTCTCTACTATCATTACATTATTATAAATGAGTTCTTTTATGGTTGTTGTTAAATATATACTTGGTGGTTGCATGTTAGGGGTATAAAAATGTACAATCATTGGATCTTCTTGTTTGGTTGTGCCCTTTAGTATGAGATAGTGTTCATCTTCATCTCTTGTTACAGCTTTATTTATTTTTTAAATTTAAGTCTTAGTTGACATACAGTGCATTCTCGGATTCGGGAGTAGTGTTCACTGATTCATCCCTTACATACAATACCCAGTGTTCATCACAACAAGTGCTGTCTTAATACAGGTCCCCCATATAGCCCAGAGCTGACCCATCACCCTCCATGAACCTTCACTTATTTTCTTTATCATTAAGAGACAGATGTGGTTTGTTACCACTCTTTTCTTTTCCTGCCCCCTTCCCATGTTTTCATCTGTTTTGTTTCTTCAATTCCACATGAGTGAAATCATATATTTGTGTTTCTCTGATTGGCACATTTCACTTAGCATAACACATTCTAGCTCCATCCACATCATTGAAAATGGCAAGATTTCATTCTTTTTGAAGCTGAGACATATTTGATTGTATATACATATGTATGTATGTATGTGTGAACATACGTATATATACATACATGCATGTATGCATGTATGTGTACGCACATACATACACATACATGCATATACACGAATACACAGACACACACATACACAGGCCCCACAACTTCTTTATACCTTCATCAGTTGATGGATACTTGGGCTTTCTCCATAATTTGGCTACTGTTGATAAAGCTGCTATACATATTGGGTGCATGCAATTTTACTACTTGGTATTGACCTAAAGGGTACCAAACTACAGTCTCGGGTTA